CCCCCCAGTTGTCATTATTACTCATTTCCACGAAATGTCAGCGACAAGCTGCGGGTCCAAACGTTGGAGCTACTTTAATGGCCGAACTGCTAGCCCCAACGGGTGCGTAGCAACGGCGACCTGGTGCTCACGAGACGGGTTCGGCGGTGCTAGCTTCCAGGCTACAGACCCGTGTTTTTCGCTCGCTTTTTCGCGCACCACAACACCCCCCCCAGTTGTCATTATTACTCATTTCCACGAATGTCAGCGACAAGTTGCGGGTCCAACCATTGGAGCCACTTCAATGGCCTTTGGAGCCACTTTAATGGCCGTTGGAGCCACTTTAATGGCCGAACCGCTAGCCCCAACGGCTGTGTAGCGACGGTAACCTGGTGCTCACGAGACGGGTTCGTTGGTTCTAGCTTCCAGGCTACAGACCCGTGCTTTCCGTTCGCTTTTTCGCGCGTCCAGAACACCCCCCCAGTTGTCATTATTACTCATTTCCACGAATGTCAGCGACGACCCATCCATATTTATACCCATTTAGTACCTAACCCGCACATTTCTGCGTTAAATTGGGTGGTTTTGAACGTGGCGACCCTCCGGATTTGTGCTTCCATGTCGGACACTTGCTGCACACCAACTGACCGGTGCTCATGCATCATTTATAAGTGACTTAATAACGTGGAACAGTGAATAAAGGTAAAAGAAAACACCAGGGAAAGTTTTTACCGTCACTTGAAAAGGCTTATCAGTGCTCCCTGCCCCGAGCGCCCACCAGTTAGTCAAGAATTTATTTACTTCCCCATAAGCTGACATTATATTTAACCCCCCCAAAAAAGGCCATGAGGACACCAGACCCATGAAAATTAACCCATGAGACCGTTTTTTAATAATGTGGAGGCATCCCCATCATTCAAACGGGACATTTACAGTCTTTCTTTGAGATGGTTTGGTTTGCTTCTGTCATTTCTCCTGGTCGGTCGGTGTCCAGAGCAAGATGTCGGCCAGAGGAGGAAAGAAGAAGGCGACCAAGCTGTCCCGGTCGTCCCGGGCCGGTGTGATCTTCCCCGTGGGCAGGATGATGCGGTACCTGCGCACCGGCACGCACAAATACCGCATCGGCATGGGAGCACCCGTCTACATGGCAGCTGTGATCGAGTACCTGGCAGGTAAGGGGACTTCCGGTGTGCCTCACCAAATCCCGGACAAGTCCGTGCTATCGCGAGGTTTCCCCAAAACACACACGTTCACCTTGTCACATCGTATGCGAGTGAGGCACTGAGTGTGGATTTCAGGTCCTGGTTTACTTGAACTTTGAAGACTCAACCCCCACAGAACCGAGTCCAGCCCATAATCCAAAGTTCAGAAGGAAAAAATAAATACATTCCACTGTTAAAACCCAGTCGAGGTTCTGGGTCGATTGGTCAACAAATTTGCCCGTTAATTTCACCCAGTTGTGGTTAATTTCACCAGGAGGAAGGTACCAAGTGAAAATGGGGGTGTTCAGACCAACCTTGTTTGACAGGTAACAGCCTGTCTTCAGAGAACACCCCCCCTTGTTTTCACTATTTTGGATTAGCCCAACACGCTACAGACGGTGGATTGATTTATGTTCACGCTTGTCACCGTCCGAAGCTTTGTTATATTTTCCCTTTTATTTTAAAGTTTGAGATTGAAGGAGTCCTCCTAGCCTAACCATGTCAAAGATATCAGCAGTATTGCAGAATTTTACAAAAATAGATAGCGGAAAAAAACAGTTGAATGCACAATTTGTAAACAACCCTTTACATTTTAAAGCAGAACTACAAACATGGCGCATCATCTAAAACCGGTATTTTTATGCAGTTATTTTCTTGCGTAATGCGTTAAGAGACCTGAGCCCGCTGTTTGTTGGATTTTGTTTTGACAATAGGCGTTATTTTTAAGGAATGCACAGTTTTAAATAGTTTTCACATGTTTAATAATCCAATTAGTCGATTTTAAGTCGAAATGTTAGGGTTTTAGTCGACCAAAAATTTCTTTGGTTGATTACAGCCCTAGTTCTTCAAAAAATGTTTTTATTCTAATATGTGGGAGTCATATCTCTAAGGCAAATCTTGTGTTTTCAGTGTGTTCAGCTTAATATCAGGGGGCAAAGCGTTGCATTCTGGTTTTGGTTTGGTTTGGGTTACCCTCCAGTACTGATCCTGATTCAGTCCTGCTGTCGTCTGATGCCGTTCAGACTCAGCCAGCCTGTTGCTGACCCTCAGGGTCAGTTGACCTCGGTCAGTAACTCAGGAACCGGAGATGTGTTGCTAAGCTGAACATGTAACCATGGAGACGGAGGAAGCCTCAGTCCCTGTTTCCCGTTTCAGCTCCTGGTTTTGGCCCTTTTTCCGCCTCTTTTTGTCCTCTAAAGTCATTAACGCGAGAATAACCCGACGAATCGGTCGGATGGCTTTGATTTTAAGCGGTTCTGCCTTTATTTGTTATTATTATTTTAAAGAGCTCCTCCCTGAGCGGTCAGCGGAGCGGTGGGAGAAGCGGGAATGCTGCTGTAACTCTTTCCCTCTCCCTCTCAGCTGAGATCCTGGAGTTGGCGGGAAACGCGGCGCGAGACAACAAGAAAGGCAGAATAACCCCCCGACACATCAAGCTGGCTGTGGCCAATGACGAGGAGCTTAACCAGGTACGTCCAGGGGTTCCCGCCTTTTTCCCCGAGGGGGGGGAGGGGTGCCTGGCTGAACTGACCGTGTTTTCCCTCCATCAGCTTCTGAGGGGGGTGACCATTTCAAACGGAGGGGTCCTGCCCCGGATCCACCCGGAGCTCCTCTCCAAGAAGCGGGGGGGCCGCGTCAAAGTGGACAGCCAGGCGCCGGCCCCCGAGAAGCGGGACGAGCGGCCCAAGACCAAGAAGCCCGTCAAGTCCGTCAAAAAGGTCAAAGGGAAGCGAGGCCGCAAGCCAAAGGTCAGTGGGGTCCGGCCGGTGGACAGAGTCCAGCTC